ATGGGGATGGGAATGGGGCAGTGGGAATGGGGATGGGAATGGGAGAAATGGGATAATGGGGATGGGGGAATGGGAGAAATGGGATAATGGGGAAATGGGGATGGGGGAATGGGAATGGGGAATGGGAGAAATGGGAATGGGAATGGGGCAGTGGGAATGGGGATGGGAATGGGAGAAATGGGAATGGGGAATGGGAATGGGGAAATGGGGATGGGGAAATGGGGATGGGGAAATGGGAATGGGAACGGGGAATGGGAACGGGTAATGGGAAAAATGGGAATGGGATCGTGGGAATGGGATTGTGGGAATGGGGTAATGGGAATGGGGATGGGAATGGGGGAATGGGAGAAATGGGAATGGGAGAAATGGGAATGGGATCGTGGAAATGGGATAATGGGAAGGGGGATGGGATTGGGAAAAATGGGAACGGGAATGGGAGAAATCGGAATGGGGAATGGGAGAAATGGGAATGGGAATGGGATTGGGAAAAATGGGAATGGGGAAATGGGAATGGGAACGGGGAATGGGAAAAAGGGGAATGGGAATGAGGATAGGGATGGGATTGGAGATGAGGATGATGGGGAAATGGGGATGGGGAAATGGGGATGGGGAAATGGGAATGGGAACGGGGAATGGGAACGGGTAATGGGAAAAATGGGAATGGGATCGTGGGAATGGGATTGTGGGAATGGGGTAATGGGAATGGGGATGGGAATGGGGGAATGGGAGAAATGGGAATGGGAGAAATGGGAATGGGATCGTGGAAATGGGATAATGGGAAGGGGGATGGGATTGGGAAAAATGGGAACGGGAATGGGAGAAATCGGAATGGGGAATGGGAGAAATGGGAATGGGAATGGGGCAATGGGAATGGGGTAATGGGAATGGGGATGGGATTGGGAAAAATGGGAATGGGATAATGGAAATGGGATAATGGGAATGGGGAAGGGATTGGGAAAAATTGGAATGGGAAAAATGGGAATGGGAAAAATTGGAATGGGAATGGGGATGGGATTGGGAAAAATGGGAACGGGGATGTGGATGAGAATGGGAACGGGGATGGGATAATGAAATAATGGGATAATGGGGATGGGGATGGAAATAGTAAAAATGGGAATGGGATAATGGGATTGAGAACAGGAAAAACAAGAATGGGGATGGGGATGATAATGGAAAATGGGATAGGAATGCGATAATGAGATAATGGGGATGGGAATGGGATAATGGGATAACGAGACAATGGGATCATGGGGATGGGATAATGGGAATGGGAAATGGGATAACCGGGGGAAAATGGCAATGGGATAATGGGATAACAGGAATGGAATAACGGGGGAAAAATGGGAATGGGATAATGGGATTGGGAATGGTGCATCTTGTGCCGGCCCAGCACGGAGTTGGGATCCTCCCGCGCCCACAGGTCGTAAAAAGTGGGAATGTTCTCCTTGGGCTTCCGGGGCTGGATCCAGCCCATCTTGATGGCGTGGACCAGCTTGGAGACCTGCGGAGCATTCCCGGGATTTGGGGATGGCAGGGAGGAGAGGAGTCCATCCTCCTCATCCCGCCGGAGCTTTTCCACTCTCCTCAGCTTTCCATGGATCCTCCTGATCCCACCAGGATCTTCCCAATCTCCTCATCCCACCTGGATCTTCCCAATCTCCTCATCCCACCTGGATCTTTCCGGCCTCCTGATCGAACCTGGATTTTTCCGTCCTCCTCATCCCACCAGGATCATTCCGTCCTCCTGATCCCACCAGGATCTTCCCAATCTCCTCATCCCACCTGGATCTTTCCAACCTTCTCATCCAACCAGGATCGTTCCAATCTCCTCATCCCACCGGGATCTTTCCGTCCTCCTGATCCCACCGGGATCTTTCCGTCCTCCTGATCCCACCTGGATCTTTCCATCTTCCTGATCCCACCTGGATCTTCCCAATCTCCTCATCCCACCGGAGCTTTTCCACTCTCCTCAGCTTTCCATGGATCCTCCTGATCCCACCTGGATCTTTCCAATCTCCTCATCCCACCGGAGCTTTCCCATTCTCTTCAGCTTTCCATGGATCCCCCTCATCCCAGCAGGATCTTCCCACGCTCCCAGCTTTTCCAATCTCCTCATCCCATGGGAATCTTTCCATTCCCCTCATCCTATTGGGATCCTTCCATCCTCTTCAGCTTTTCCACCCTCCCCATCCCACCAGGATCTTCCCATTCTCCTCATCCCACCTGGATCTTTCCGTCCTCCTGATCCCATCTGGATCTTCCCAATCTCCTGATCCCACCAGGATCTTTCCAATCTCCTCATCCCACCAGAGCTTTCCCATTCTCCTCAGCTTTCCATGGATCCCCCTCATCCCACCTGGATCTTTCCAACCTTCTCATCCCACCAGGATCTTTCCAACCTTCTCATCCCACCAGGATCTTTCCAACCTTCTCATCCCGCCAGGATCTTCCCACGCTCCCAGCTTTTCCATTCTCCCCATCCCACCAGGATCTTTCCAACCTTCTCATCCCGCCAGGATCTTCCCACGCTCCCAGCTTTTCCATTCTCCCCATCCCACCAGGATCTTTCCAACCTTCTCATCCCGCCAGGATCTTCCCACGCTCCCAGCTTTTCCATTCTCCCCATCCCACCAGGATCTTTCCAACCTTCTCATCCCGCCAGGATCTTCCCACGCTCCCAGCTTTTCCATTCTCCTCATCCCACCAGGATCTTTCCATCCTCTTCAGCTTCTCCATCCTCCTGATCCCACCTGGATCTTTCCAACCTTCTCATCCCACCAGGATCTTCCCACGCTCCCAGCTTTTCCAATCTCCTCATCCCATTGGGATCTTTCCATTCTCCTCATCCCACTGGGATCTTTCCATTCTCTTCAGCTTTTCCATCCCCCCAATCCCACCAGGATCTTTCTTATCCCACCAGGATCTTCCCATGCTCTCAACTTTTCCAATCTCCTCATCCCACTGGGATCTTCCCAATCTCCCAATCCCAACCGGATCTTTCCATCCTCCTGATCCCACCAGGATCTTTCCAACCTTCTCATCCCACCTGGATCTTCCCACACTCCCAACTTTTCCATTCTCCTCATCCCACCGGGATCTTTCCATCCTCTTCAGCTTTTCCATCCCCCCAATCCCACCAGGATCTTTCTTATCCCACCAGGATCTTCCCATGCTCTCAGCTTTTCCAATCTCCTCATCCCCCCAGGATCTTCCCATCCTCTTCAGCTTCTCCATCCTCCCCATCCCACCAGGATCTTTCCAATCTTCTCATCCCACCACGATCTTCCCATGCTCCCAACTTTTCCAATCTCCTCATCCCACTGGGATCTTTCCATCCTCTTCACCTTTCTCCTCATCCCATTGGGATCTTTCCAACCTTCTCATCCCACCTGGATCTTTCCAATCTTCTCATCCCACCACGATCTTCCCACGCTCCCAGCTTTTCCAATCTCCTCATCCCATGGGAATCTTTCCAATCTCCTCATCCCACTGGGATCTTTCCATCCTCTTCAGCTTCTCCATCCTCCTGATCCCACCAGGATCTTTCCAACCTTCTCATCCCACCGGGATCTTCCCAATCTCCTGATCCCACCCGGATCTTCCCACCCTCCTCAGCTTTCCCACCCGGATCTCCCCCCCGGAATTCCGGGCTCTCTCTCCCACCTTTTCCTTCTCCACCAGGGAAGGGATGAAGCTCCGTTTGTCCGCGGGCCGGTTGGTCACCGGGTGGATCCGCACCTCGTGGCTGAAGAAATCCACGGACGGCTGGAAAACCGGGAATGCTCAGCCCCCAGCCCGTATTCCCAGTGGGAATTCCATGCCCAGGGCCTCCCCTTGGGCATTCCTGGTGGGAATTCCATCCCCAAGGCCTCCCCTTGGGAATTCCCAGCAGGAATTCCATCCCCAGGGCCACCTTTTGGGCATTCCTGGTGGGAATTCCATGCCCAAGGCCTCCCCTCGGGCATTCCCAGCGGGAATTCCATGCCCAGGGTCTCCCATGGGCATTCCCAGCAGGAATTCCATCCCCGGGGCCTCCTCTTGGGCATTCCTGGTGGGAATTCCATCCCAGGGCCTCACCTCCTGCATTCCTGATGGGAATTCTGCCCTCATTCCCAGCAGGAATTCCACCCCCCGGGACGCACCTCCCGCATTCCCTTCGGGAATTCTGCTCCCAGGATCTCCCCTTTCATCATTCCTGGTGGGAATTCAATCCTTGGGGCCTCACTTCCCACATTCCCAGTGGGAATTCCACACCAGGACCTCCCCTTACAGCATTCCCAGTGGGAATTCTGCCTGATTCCCAATGGGATTTCCATCCCTAGGGCCTCACCTCCTGCATTCCCAATGGGAATTCCACCCCTGGGACCTCCCCTTACAGCATTCCTGGTGGGAATTCTGCCCTCACTCCCAGCAGGAATTCCACCTCCAGGACTTCCCCTCCCGCATTCCCAGTGGGAATTCTGCCCCCAGGACCTCCCCTTGGGCATTCCTGGTGGGAATTCCATTCCCAAGATCTCCCCTCCCGCATTCCCAGTGGGAATTCTGCCCCCAGGACCTCCTCTTGGGCGTTCCCGGTGCAAATTCCATCCCTTGGGCCCCTCCTTCCAGCATTCCCGGTGGGAATTCCATGCTCAGGGCCTCCTCCCCCACATTCCCACCGGGAATTCCGCCCCACTCCCGGTGGGAATTCCAGCCGCAGGACCTCTCCTTTCAGAATTCCCTTTTTGGAATTCCGTGCCTGGGGTCTCCTGCCACGCATTCCCGGTGGGAATTCCAGCCGCAGGACCTCTCCTTTCAGAATTCCCTTTTTGGAATTCCGTGCCTGGGGTCTCCTGCCACGCCTTCCCGGTGGGAATTCCACCCCGTTCCCTTTGGGAATTCCATCCTCGGGATTCCCACATTCCCTCGGGATTCCCACATTCCCGCTGGGAAGGTGCCTCACCTCGTAGGGGTCGAAGTTGACGTCGCCGAAGTGTCCCCGCTGCAGGCGCTGCACCAGCTCCAGCTGCTCCTCGGACAGAGCCACCTCCGCCCCCGTCTGCCGGTCCTGCACCGTGCGCTCCCCTCCCGCATTCCCAGTGGGAATTCTGCCCCCAGGACCTCCTCTTGGGCGTTCCCGGTGCAAATTCCATCCCTTGGGCCCCTCCTTCCAGCATTCCCGGTGGGAATTCCATGCTCAGGGCCTCCTCCCCCACATTCCCACCGGGAATTCCGCCCCACTCCCGGTGGGAATTCCAGCCGCAGGACCTCTCCTTTCAGAATTCCCTTTTTGGAATTCCGTGCCTGGGGTCTCCTGCCACGCATTCCCGGTGGGAATTCCAGCCGCAGGACCTCTCCTTTCAGAATTCCCTTTTTGGAATTCCATGCCTGGGGTCTCCTCCCACGCATTTCCGGTGGGAATTCCACCCCGTTCCCTTTGTGAATTCCATCCTCGGGATTCCCACATTCCCTCGGGATTCCCACATTCCCGCTGGGAAGGTGCCTCACCTCGTAGGGGTCGAAGTTGACGTCGCCGAAGTGTCCCCGCTGCAGGCGCTGCACCAGCTCCAGCTGCTCCTCGGACAGAGCCACCTCCGCCCCCGTCTGCCGGTCCTGCACCGTGCGCCTGCCGACGGACACACGGACGCCGCCGTGGGGCACACCGCCACGTGGGGCACACCGGGACATGGGGCACACAAGGACATGGGCACCGGGACATGGGGCACACCGGGACATGGGCACCGCCGCGACATGGGGGACACCGGGACACGGACACCGCCATGGGGCACACCGCCACCGGGACATGGGCACCGCTGTGGGGCACGCCGCGACATGGGGGACACCGGGACATGGACACCGCCATGGGGCACACCGCCACCGGGACATGGGCACCGCCGTGGGGCACACCGCCACGTGGGGCACACAAGGACATGGGTACCGCCGTGGGGCACACCGCGACATGGGGGACACCAGGACATGGGCACCGGGACAAGGGCACCGCCGTGGGGCACACCGCCACGTGGGGCACACCGCGACATGGACACCGCGACATGGACACCGCCACATGGGGCACACCGGGACATGGACACTGCCATGAGGCACACTGGCACATGGGGCACACCGCGACATGGGGCACACCGGGACATGGGGCGACACCAGGACATGGGGCACACCGGGGCATGGGGGACACCGGGACATGGGGGACACCAGGACATGGGCACCGGGACAAGGGCACCGCCGTGGGGCACACCGCCACGTGGGGCACACCAGGACATGGGCACCACCGTGGGGCACACCGGGACATGGACACCGCCATGGGGAACACCAGGACATGGACACCGCCATGGGGAACACTGGGACATGGACACCGCCGTGGGGCACACCGCGACACGGGCGACACCAGGACATGGGGGACACCGGGGCATGGGGGACACCGCGACATGGGCACCGGGACATGGGGCACACCAGGACATGGGGGACAGCACGACATGGGCACCGCTGTGGGGCACACCAGGACATGGGGCACACCAGGACATGGACACAGCGGGACATGGACACCGGGATGGACACTGGGATGGGGGACAGGGATCTGGGACACAGGGATGGACACCAGGATGGACATCGGAATGGACACGGGGATGTGGGACACAGGAATCCTGGGATGGACACTGGGATGGGGGACACCAGGATGGACACCGGGATTCCAGGATATGGGACAGAGATTCCCAGGACGGACAGGGATTTCCAGGATCGGGACAGGGATGGACACAGAGATTCCTGGGATGGGGAGGGGATGGGGAAGGATTCACGGGATACAGGACGGGATTCCCAGGACGGACAGGGATTTCCAGGATCGGGACAGGGATGGACAGGGCGTCCTGGGATGGACATGGAATTCCTGGGAGGGAATTTCCCAGGAAGCAGAGGGATTCCCAGGAAGCGGAGGGATTCCCAGGAAGCAGAGGGATTCCCGGGATGCAGAGGGATTCCCAGGAAGCAGAGGGATTCCCGGGATGCAGAGGGATTCCCAGGAAGCAGAGGGATTCCCAGGAAGCAGAGGGATTCCCAGGAAGCGGAGGGATTCCCAGGAAGCGGAGGGATTCCCAGGAAGCAGAGGGATTCCCGGGATGCAGCTGAGGATGGATGGATGGGAGGGAGGCTCCGTGCCCGATCCCAAATCCACACATCCGGAATCACCCCGGGAAAACTCAGGGAGCCTCCAGAACCCTGAACTCCAGGAATTCCGGGAACTCCAATCCCGCGTGTGGAGCACATCCATGGAATCACGGGACACTTCGGGATTTTAAGGCTCATCCCCATCCCGCGGGACACCTCCCGCTATCCCGAGGTTTTTCCAGGCCCTTCCCCCACCGGGAATTCCTCACCAGTATTCCGGGTTTTCCATCTTTTCCAGGAAGAGGTCCAGCTCGTCCTTGCTCCGCAGGGGTTTGTAGATCCTCTTCCCGTCCAGGTCGTACCCGATGTGCGGGAAATCCTGGTACCATTCCATGGGAATGTTCCCCACCGTGTTCCGGATGTCCTGGGAAGGAAAAAAAAAAACACCGGGAAAAGGGTGAGGGGAGGAAGGGAGGTTCCAGGGAATCCGTGGAAAAAAAGGTGAGGGAATTCCAGGGAATCCTTGGAGGAAAGGGTGAGGGAATTCCAGGGAATCCCTGGAGGAAAGGGTGGGGGAAATTCCCCGGGAAAAGGGTGAGGGGAGGAAGGGAGGTTCCAGGGAATCCTTGGAAAAAAGAGGTGAGGGAATTCCAGGGAATCCTTGGAGGAGAGTGTGAGGGAATTCCAGGGAATCCCTGGAGGAAAGGGTGGGAGAATTCCAGGGAATCCTTGGAAAAAAAGGTGAGGGAATTCCAGGGAATCCTTGGAGGAAAGGGTGGGAGAATTCCAGGGAATCCTTGGAGGAAAGGGTGAGGGAATTCCAGGGAATCCTTGGAAGAAAGTGTGAGGGAATTCCAGGGAATCCCTTGGAGGAAAGGGCGGGAGAATTCCAGGGAATCCTTGGAAAAAAAGGTGAGGGAATTCCAGGGAATCCTTGGAGGAAAGGGCGGGAGAATTCCAGGGAATCCCTGGAGGAAAGGGCGGGAGAATTCCAGGGAATCCCTGGAGGAAAGGGCGGGAGAATTCCAGGGAATCCCTGGAGGAAAGGGCGGGAGAATTCCAGGGAATCCCTGGAGGAAAGGGCGGGAGAATTCCAGGGAATCCCTGGAGGAAAGGGCGGGAGAATTCCAGGGAATCCCTGGAGGAAAGGGCGGGAGAATTCCAGGGAATCCCTGGAGGAAAGGGCGGGAGAATTCCAGGGAATCCCTGGAGGAAAGGGCGGGAGAATTCCAGGGAATCCCTGGAGGAAAGGGCGGGAGAATTCCAGGGAATCCCTGGAGGAAAGGGCGGGAGAATTCCAGGGAATCCCTGGAGGAAAGGGCGGGAGAATTCCAGGGAATCCCTGGAGGAAAGGGCGGGAGAATTCCAGGGAATCCCTGGAGGAAAGGGCGGGAGAATTCCAGGGAATCCCTGGAGGAAAGGGCGGGAGAATTCCAGGGAATCCCTGGAGGAAAGGGCGGGAGAATTCCAGGGAATCCCTGGAGGAAAGGGCGGGAGAATTCCAGGGAATCCCTGGAGGAAAGGGCGGGAGAATTCCAGGGAATCCCTGGAGGAAAGGGCGGGAGAATTCCAGGGAATCCCTGGAGGAAAGGGCGGGAGAATTCCAGGGAATCCCTGGAGGAAAGGGCGGGAGAATTCCAGGGAATCCCTGGAGGAAAGGGCGGGAGAATTCCAGGGAATCCCTGGAGGAAAGGGCGGGAGAATTCCAGGGAATCCCTGGAGGAAAGGGCGGGAGAATTCCAGGGAATCCCTGGAGGAAAGGGCGGGAGAATTCCAGGGAATCCCTGGAGGAAAGGGCGGGAGAATTCCAGGGAATCCCTGGAGGAAAGGGCGGGAGAATTCCAGGGAATCCCTGGAGGAAAGGGCGGGAGAATTCCAGGGAATCCCTGGAGGAAAGGGCGGGAGAATTCCAGGGAATCCCTGGAGGAAAGGGCGGGAGAATTCCAGGGAATCCCTGGAGGAAAGGGCGGGAGAATTCCAGGGAATCCCTGGAGGAAAGGGCGGGAGAATTCCAGGGAATCCCTGGAGGAAAGGGCGGGAGAATTCCAGGGAATCCCTGGAGGAAAGGGCGGGAGAATTCCAGGGAATCCCTGGAGGAAAGGGCGGGAGAATTCCAGGGAATCCCTGGAGGAAAGGGCGGGAGAATTCCAGGGAATCCCTGGAGGAAAGGGCGGGAGAATTCCAGGGAATCCCTGGAGGAAAGGGCGGGAGAATTCCAGGGAATCCCTGGAGGAAAGGGCGGGAGAATTCCAGGGAATCCCTGGAGGAAAGGGCGGGAGAATTCCAGGGAATCCCTGGAGGAAAGGGCGGGAGAATTCCAGGGAATCCCTGGAGGAAAGGGCGGGAGAATTCCAGGGAATCCCTGGAGGAAAGGGCGGGAGAATTCCAGGGAATCCCTGGAGGAAAGGGCGGGAGAATTCCAGGGAATCCTTGGAGGAAAGGGTGGGAGAATTCCAGGGAATCCTTGGAAGAAAGTGTGAGGGAATTCCAGGAAATCCTTGGAAGAAAGGGTGAGGAAACTCCAGGGAATCCTTGGAGCTGCTTCCCAAGGAAAACACAGGGGAAAGGGTTTGGGAATTCCAGGGAATTCCAGGGAAAGCCTGGAGCCATTTCCAAAGGCTAAAGGGGATCTGGAGAGCTCGGGAGGGATTTGGGATAAGGGATGGGAATTCTGTCCCTTGGGATGGGGAGCAGGGCGTGAGGATTCCCTTGGAATGTTGTCCCTTGGGATTGCTGGTTTCTGGAATGGGAATGGGAATGGGGAATGGG